AATTATTGGATGCTGTCTTGAAGAATGCATACAAAACTGCAAGATTCATTGCAGGAACATTGTAGCGAAAGTGCACAATGGCATAAATCCAGTTCAAGGGAGCCACTCCATTATTTTACTTAGGATGAGGATGAGAGCGCTCATGACACGTAATAAGTGTACTCGTGATAAGTATCGGTACTGTACGAGTACTCCTGCGGCCCTATCGTTATTCGGGCTGCAGTGATCAAAGAAGCGGTCCTGGACCAGGAGAAAGGACACCTCCGCAAAGGGCTAAGGGTGCAGGAGCTCCAGGGTGGATCACCTGTGCAGAAAAGTGGATGGGATGTGGGCAGGTAGTGTGGAATGTAGGACATCCACCGGTCCTTATCAAAAGTACGCTCGAAATGAGTCGTTTACTTATTATATAAACCGTATAACGCTCGAAATCGTAGTACGAAGTGTACGCAAACACACAGATTACCAAGTGTACAGTGCATAATAAAGGTTTGGGGGCCGTATCGAGACTCGCCAAAAGGAGGGGATCGTAAAATTTTCGAAACTGGTCCGACGTGACGGTTGGTCCTGTTAACGCATTCACTGTTTCCGCCTATTTCCATATATCTGAGTTTATTTTGCAAATGAAGTTCAACATCTCATATTTATGAACGTTCTGCAACAGCAGTAATGAACCCGAACAACCACGCTTGTTACTGATATCGTATAATTATTCCATTCAGATTTGGTCACTAAGAAATGTGCGAATTGTAATAGTATTACATATAACCGTTGCTTTCTCTGCGTCAACTCCACTATTTGGAGCAGAATTTCTATTTACTTTGAATGAAGACGGAACGTATGCACCCATGGGAATTGATAGACGTAGTGATCTGGTCAGTTGTACCGGAAGAGCACAAATGTCTTCACACTAGCGTTTTCTGTACAGAGAACATGAGTGAAGGAGTTGGCTGGAATAGAGACACCTATCTTTTCAGATCAACAGATGCACTTACGTTGGAGCCTCTCTACTCTACGCTCTAGTTAGCCTTATTTTAAACGTCAGATTGATGATTGAGCTGCACAAATTATTGAAAATTAGCGATTTCGGACGACATTCACGACACGAAAAGGTGAGCAAGTCTAGTTAGTTGTCCACGGTTGAGCATACGGCTCTCTCATAGAATGTTCAAAAAAGAACCTCTGAAAGAGCTCTCAAAGGAGGATCACACAATAAGGATAAAGATTGAGGAAGGGCGATTTTACATAGCAATGAGGCAGGCAGACTTCCTAAGGGTGCGCAATGGCACGCAGTCAAAGGATATGTCTCCGGCGATCTAGCATGACCTTCCCTGCGGCCCAGTTGGCGCGCCATTGGTCCATTACGCTCGGTGGTTTTGTTCTGAGTCTCAAGCCGTCTAGCAGAGAGAGCGTTAGCGTTGAAGAGGGCAGCACCGATGAGAGTCGCATCAATGCGCAAATCAACGGGCAAGGAAGGGGTCCCGCTCTGTTCTAGACCATTTCTCTCGATTTTTCCTTCTTTGGTGCATCACTGACCATCTAGAACTTGAAGGAATCTTTTCCCAGGAAATTATTGTATTCTTCATCCCCAATATGAATTGATCAGAGTCCTCAAATGAAGTTTCATGCAAGAAGTTTCCAAACATACGGGAACCACCTTCCATGGATCATCTAAGGAAGTCGCACGAAACCAAAGGCGGCGCATGAAAGGAATCTAATGGAGGCATTCGATTTTGGAGAATGGATACAAATTGATAGAATAGGATGCAGCAGAAGTGTGAAATGTTACTACGCTGAGGGTAAGGCCCCAAACAATGTTCTAGTGAATGCGAGAACCAAGTAGAATTTTCCTTCCACCGATATTTATAACGGATGTACGGCAAGAATTTAAACGCGTGACAGCCTTTCCGCTTTTTGAATTATTTACTAAAACAAACGCAGTCTTTTGTTTTGCTATTTTCGCTTTTATCGTGAGCCATGGGTCCGGTGCCAGCATTGTATGGTGAGATAATATCATGATTTTTCCGGGGAGGACCTATAATTTACAATGGGCTGCCCTTTCATCTCAGAATCCGTCTTTAAATAGTTAAATTCAAACTGTTTGTCGGGTACTGTATACAACCATTGTGTTCTTGGTGCACAAGCAGAACGTAGAGTCGAAATCTCGAAGTCAGATTAGGCGTGGCTACGGATGTAACGTGGCCTTCGCCGCACTTGATAGAAGCCGTGAGGATAACGTACTGCGGATATCAGAAGAACATGCTAGAAGCATCTTATCCGCGTAACATACAGGGGGGGGGGCAAAAAAAGACATTTTGCCTATGTCGGACTTCGGCTCTTTTTTTCTTCGCAGAGATTGCTGTCGTTGACGGGAGTTCCTCCTAAGTGTCCTCTATAAGTGAACGCAGGCTCTCCTTCACTGCCCTCACCGTCTTCAGAATATGACGTCATCTGTCACCGTCGTCAGGCTCAAGGAGGTCTACCGTAAGAGCTTCAGCCTGAAGCTCTTACGCAATTTCGTGAATCGATTTAATGTTGGATAGTTTTCTAGAGGCATTAGCTACCACTGTGCAAATCCCCTCGGAACTACTTCACTGCGTCCCATAATTATAACTCCACCCAAGAATTTCCCAAAATCTCACAAATTTAGATGTTTTAGAAAAAGTCTCTAATGTGGCAGTGTGTCAAATACAAATACGAAATTCCTTATAAGCATCATCTTCCAACTTGAGATCCCAGGAATTTTTTCTAATAATTTTTGTTCAAAAGGGCCACTTGGCCAACGTCCCAAAATTATAACTCCACCTCATGTTTTTCTATTATTTTTCACTTTCCGTTTCGCCAAACTTTTTTAATGTGCTAACATCCTACTTCTCAAGGGGACAGTATGATAGAAAATGCTGTCTGACTTTTTAAAAGGTCAGGTCGTCGCAAAAACTACTAATTAGGCAATCGCACAAGATTTTGACCAAATTCACGAGGAGCTCGAGAATTTTTTCAGGGATTTTACATGATATGGAGTTGAGAAGAGCTCCAAAGGATCTCCCCTTGCTTTTCGGTAGAAAACAAGGCCGTGTCACAGAAGAAACATCCTTTTTTATGAAGCCGTGCTCTGCCATCAAATCTTCTTCGGAACTTAATGGCTCAACGGAACAATGTTTTTTGCTTGCGAATAAGTCCCAAGTTGATTCTCGAGTGGAAAACGTGGAAGGCATCATCTGTGGCAGGAAACCATGGCGAAAATTGAGCCATTTTCAGAAAGATGCAACGGAGCCGACTGGAGTAAGGTTCGCTTTTGCTCGATATGTTTTAGCATTTGTTTGTTTTTCTTTTCGTGCTTTTCTCATCCTTAGTAGCTTTTCTCTTCGCGAAGCACTACCAGGAGAAAGAAAATGCCGAAGAGAAAGACAGACAATCAGTAATGAATCGCAAGTAAGAGCGAACCTTACTACAGTCGGCTCGGATGCACCTTTCCGGAAAACTCAGCAAGAATTCCGCCATGGTTTCTTACCACAGATGATGCCTTCCACGTTTTCCACTCGAGAATCAACTTGGGACTTATTCGCAAGCAAAAAACATTGTTCCGTTGAGCCATTAAGTTCCGAAGAAGATTTGATGGCAGAGCACGGCTTCATAAAAAAGGATGTTTCTTCTGTGACACGGCCTTTGTTTCTACCGAAAAGCAAGGGGAGATCCTTTGGAGCTCTTCTCAACTCCATATCATGTAAAATCCCTGAAAAAATTCTCGAGCTCCTCGTAAATTTGGTCAAAATCTTGTGCGATTGCCTAATTAGTAGTTTTGCGACGACCTGACCTTTTAAAAAGTCAGACAGCATTTTCTATCATACTGTCCCCTTGAGAAGTAGGATGTTAGCACAATAAAAAAGTTTGGCGAAACGGAAGTGAAAAATAATAGAAAAACATGAGGTGGAGTTATAATTTTGGGACGTTGGCCAAGTGGCCTTTTGAACAAAAATTATTAGAAAAAATTCCTGGGATCTCAAGTTGGAAGATGATGCTTATAAGGGATTTCGTATTTGTATTTGACACACTGCCACATTAGAGACTTTTTCTAAAACATCTAAATTTGTGAGATTTTGGGAAATTCTTGGGTGGAGTTATAATTATGGGACGCAGTGTAGCTTTCCAGTAAGGGTCGTTATGGTACACGATCCTTCGAAGACCCCATTGAGATCGACCAGTGCACCATGTTTCCAGGGCTAATTCTTCTGATGCCGTCCACGTAGGTGGCCACCATGAAGATTTTCTTATAGAATGGAATGCGCTCTTTAATAATAAGTTGGGACCATTCGGTCTGAATTGAGCAAAGTGTGCTTAAATCCATCTGGAAGTGGAGACAAAATGTCTTTTTTTATTGCCCCCCCCCCTGTATCAACTTGCGGCGGCTGCCAGTAAAACTCATAGACACCCTAATTCTGACTTTGAGAATCATGGTGTATACATGTAAAGTCGGCTTACTTATTAAAATGTGTAGCGATTCATTACAAAATGTTTTCAGGGCATGGCACTTTACACTATGCTTGTTTTTTCGTTCACTACCTTGATGTGCACTCAGCAAATCGTGAAAGGGATTGCCACCTATCACTGAGAATACCGCACTCGCTATGTTTATAAATATGCAGGTTAGCTATACGATATATAGCTAATTGTTTTTAGCACGCTGTGAAAACTAATGACTATTCAAGATAAGATAGTGGCCACAGTCAGGTGCAGAGGGATTATGCAGGGGCAATGAAGAACAGTCACTCATTCTTCATATTTAAAACAGAGAAATCACAATTTGCTTGGTTCCAACCAGGGTCAAGCGTGCGTTGAGGAATCCTCGACACGTCACAGGGGGGGGGGGTCGTATTGGCCCGCTGGGAGGAAGAGATCGGGCCGATTGATGCAGTATCATCATCGTCGGAGGACAAACATCAAGGATCGAGTCGATGCCAGGCCAGAGGATTTCCAATAACAATTGATTCCGCCCACACAAAATTTTCGTGATTCAGAGGTGTCCGCTTAGCAATTCTTAGTTACTTCAGTGTTTTATCACCACACAAGTTAAAGAATCCGAAATTCGCACGTTTTCCAAGGGATATTTTATCTTTCAAGTGAGTCCTCGAATCTGAAGGGATGTGAAGCACACGGCGCATCCCAGAGTGGGCCCAGTTGGTTGCGCGCGCTTCAGCTACGGCTCTCTGGAGAAAGAATCTCAATTCAGGAAAAATCAAGAGGATTCTGAAAGGGTTCATGTGAAATTACAGGGAGGAGTACACCATTCAACAAGAAACGCAGTCTTCATGAACATATAAATGTTGAGATTCGTCAAACAATTTTACACTTGTTGGAAAGAAAAAAGCTCATGGATTCCGAGTCTGCTCCCATTTTGTACATAATCGCCCTGAAAGGAGCTATAGTCGTTGAAATAGTGCCAATGCAGCGAAAAAGTACCTTTCGGCGGTACTCGGGCAAAAATCCTCAACGTGGCCATTTTTTAAATAGTGGACGTATTTAGCAGTTCTAGTAACCGTTAGAATAGAGCAAATCTTCTAGTTTATGATGACGTATTAACTTTCCAGATTGCATGAGTTTGAACGGAGATATGGCTTTAGAAAGCGTAAAGGGGATGTCAGACTTTGCGAATCGTGCGCGTCAGCGGTCGCGTTGCGGTACCAGCCAATTGAGTGATTCACTGACCGCGACAAGACCGCAGACGCTAGCGAATCGCGCGATTCGCAAAGTCTGACATCGGCCAAAAACTCCCACTCATCACGAATTTTCCTCGTTAACTTTGCAAAATTCCTCAACATGGCCAATTTAGGTTCTAGATTTATCGAGATGTTCAAAAAACCCATTGTATAGAACAAGTCTGTCTTGGTTTCATTGACATAGGTACCTTTTCAGAACAGATGAGAAATGAGCAAGTTTTTGATTTCACGAAAGTTCTTAAAAACTTCGAGCGCCATTACAAGTTTCCTCGTTCAAGCCTTAGAATGTGTTGACTTATCAATGATTTTCTTGCTTTCTGAACTGTAACTAGCGAAAGGGAGACGTGTAAATTGAGAACCATACTCTGTTTAGTACAAATTCGGTATGTCTTGGGAAGGAAATAAATGAAGAGGAGATGTTGTTATAGTAGTGATTTTTAGTGTCTAGTTAGTTAGTTTAGTTTAGTTTTTTCTTATTGACCCTGGTTAACCGTATGCACCCATCACAACATTGGAGCACTCATTCCACTTTATTGGAACGCATCATAGTAGCCTTCGTCGTTGATGGCATTAGAAGATTCTCCATGGGACCAAGATGTACGGTTCAAGCCTAGCGTGGTCCTTAAGGGATCGCTGACCATAACGACATACCGTGTGAAACGCTGATTCGGAATGGTGGTGCAAGAGTTAAATTCAACCTAAAAATCACCACCTCCTTACCGCAAATTGCCGACAAGAGTCGCTAGAAGTTGTTTAATCTGACAAATTTATTGCCAACTTCCCCCGCAAGCCCCACCTTTCGGGGTCGCTGCCAGGACGCTGCGAGAAAAGCGCGGGCGCAGCTGCGGCAGTTCAATGTCATTGGCTTTGGAGCAAGTAGAGCTAGGGTCGCGAAACTCGTCAACATATTCAGGGCCTCAGCGCAAAACACGGACTCGTGATCGGAGTTTGGTCTTAGACATTCTTTCTTTTCCTAGATCAGCTTTGCTCATCTCCAGCTTCATATTGAACGTTATTCCACAACCCATTTGGAGTCCCGGTGTTGCAGCGGATCGGGGATCAGTGGTGTGGGAATAACTTTAAGACGGCTAGAAGGGATTTCCTGCCTTATTTTATCAAGGAAATTCTAAAAAAATATTCGTAACCCGTCCATCAGCAGGCGGCGGCGCTTGGCGTGCGACGCAGAATAGATGGCAGGGCCTATGAACAGATGGACTTTGTGCTCCCCCTTTCGTTATAATGGAACATAATTTTTGGGCAATCATTTGAATGCTAGCTGGAATAGTAGGGAAACAAGTTAGAAGCAGTCAGCGAGTCGATATGCGAGATAAATCGCGCAAGTTGTACCGGGGCCCACTACATTTTTGGAAAGTCCGGCTGATTGAGTACGATAGATCCGATTTGAGTATGAGTCTGTAGTTGGTTTGAGTAGTGGAACTAGTGGTCACTTTCTAATATTAGACCTTATATGGATTTACTGCTTTCACTGCTTTTTAGGAGCAGGAATGATAAACTCTCTAGCTCTTCATGGCGCGAGAGGTGTGCCTATTGCAAAGAGGCTCGCTGTTCGTAATTGGTCGGTAGTTCTGTTCCTCACGTAAGAGTAGGAGGAGCTTTTTGAAAGATCTCTCGTTGGAGGTAGTTTCAAAAGGATCTGATAGAAAATATGCCTTCAGGTTGGATTCTCCAACATATTTATAGTCTCTCAAATTTGTTTTATGAAGCATTTCACCAAATTGGAGGCCCTGTCCTGATTTTAGTGGTCTAGTCGTGATCACTTCTGAGAAAAGAACTGGGGCGCAATTGTTCTCCACAATCAACATCTCATTCCACCCTTAGATCTTCTGAACTATCATTTGATGAGTTTGCTGCGGCTGATAATCTAATATTGCTTACTATGAGCCCATTTCTTAGCAGATATTTTTCCAGTACTATTGGATAAACGACGTCATGGTCAGCATTCCACCATTATCTCTGTTGATGTTCAATGGGGAGCTTCGCAAGGACATTGTCAATTTCATTTGCTGTCGAAGACATCAGCAGTGGGACAATATTTCTGTTTCAATTTTTGAGAATCGCCAATCAGTTTCTGGTCTCAACAAAGATAGTGATCGTCGCAATGCTACTCGTTCTGTGTATTGAATGGATATGAGAATAAATGTTTGCAATAAGGTCAATCAGAAGGCAGTATTCCGCTCTTGAAGACGGAATTCAACGATGAAAACAACACATCCCATTTCACAACTTAAAACCTAGGGCAAGGTGCAGGTGTACACGAAAAGATAGGAAGAACCATGAGAGAACGGCCTCCAGAACCGCAGATAATTGAACCCGAAAAATGGTACCCCAATTCTTGCCCGTTGATTTCGAGCATTGATGCGACTCTCATCGCTGTGCCCTCTTCAACACTACGCTCTCTCAGCTATCTAATCACTCGCCACGTATTGAACTACGGCGAGTGATCAGATGATCGGTGGGCGGAGATCGCCGGACCCGCCAGCTTTGAGGCATGATAGGTCGCCGAGGTTAAATTTTTCCAACTACTGAATACTTGACCGCGTACATTTCGCACCAGGAAGTGTCGTGCGGTCCCTCAAACTAGAGTTCATTTCCCTTTCGTTTCAGACCTTCATTCCAATTCGATGAATTCCTACCTTTGGGTAAGTCCAAGGAGTTGAGCTAAACGAGAAGACATCGACGATAAATATATTTAGGCATGTATTATTATTGCAATGTGGGAAGAGTATTAACTTTCAAAGTTCGGATCGTGCGCTTCCGCAAAAATTTCGTATAGGCGTTTACAGCCCCAAAATTTTTACAACATTGTTGCAAAAATCAGCACTTTTATGAAAAACCGTTGAGAAATTGCCAATCATCCTTTAGATTGGAAATTTGCCCGTTCTGAAGAAGGAGTCCCGTTGTGTTCAGTTTTCAATGTGCTCCCCTAATAGACAAGCTGATTCAAGGTCAACACATTGCTCGTCTGAAGAGCATCCCATCTCCGCGTTACTGCCGTGAGTACTTGCAAGTGAGAGTTGTGCTGAGGGGGGGGGAGGAGACGTTTACCTCAAAGTTTTATCTCTACTCGACCACTTCACTCTGCGGTATAGTTGACTCGTAATTGGGAGATTATCACAACGAAAACGAGTGCCACAGCTATCCAGGCTGAAAGACAGGCTTCTAAAGGCTGCTGGGAGACGAGTCCGCTATTTTATCATGTTTAAACTTATGCGGTAGACAGCTTTATCAGGGGAGTATGTATGTGATGGATAAGATTCACACACTTCCAGGGGAACGCTTTCGACTCAGAGATAATTCAATGTTCTTGACATGCGCGTGATTCCCCATAATGAAACGGGAAGGCAACGTCAGGGATATTTTTCTACCTAATCTCATAAACGTTTTTTAAAGGATGGAGTTTCGGTTCTGTGGCTGTCTTCTAACAAACTTTCTCTTCTCTGTGGAGTGGCCGCCCGAGTAGGAAAACATGTATCTGAAAAGCAGTGAGAGGTGTTTGACGTGCACATCTGCGGATGAAAAGAATAACAATAAAGTCTGATTTGCTGATTATTAAAATTAATATTGATATACTAAATCTTGGATGTATGGTCTTCAAGACTGCTTTAGATTTGATCCCGCTACTGAGGCATGGACGAGCGGCATTGCTCCCATGTCCTCAAAAGCCTGATACCACCCACTCGTCCCTCCCAGCAGAGCAAATAGGACTCCTCCGTCTGCTATATCCTCGTGCGCAGGCAGAAGTTATGAAGAGCCCGTGATTGTGCTTCGTTCACGTGCTCAGCGAAAACAAACTTCAAAAAACTCGTAAGAAATGACATGCAATGACGTCAGAAAATAACGATTCAGGGATTGTGTTTTGTTAGAAAGTGAATTCAGTCTAATTTTCTTCATCAAGACAGTCTACAATGTGCGTCTCGAGAGATGTCGCAAGTCCAATCGTTGCCAAGAGTCACTTCATCCATGGTCGTCGTGTTACGCTAACCTCTCAGCGCTTTAAAGTTGCTCTTACAGTTGCTCTAGTATGTTTTCATCATTTTTCTCCCTCGTCTTGCTAATGCACCAAAGCTCCCTTTAGAATAAGTCGACCGCACTAACACATGTTTTTCAGGGAAAACTCAGGGAACGTTATGATTAACGTGTTACAAACAATAATAGAAGTTTCTCTTGCACTAGTCTACGTCTTCGTTCTATTCATTATCGTAACATCCAAGAAGAACATCTTCAAGAACGCGTTCTACATGATGTTTGTCGCTACAGGTGAGCGTCGACTCCGTTTGGTAGGGTTACAAAAAACAGAAGTTCCCCTTCGATTATATTACTTGCTGTACGAAAGTTGTTGAAAACGAGTGACGAATCTCTTTCATTTTGTGTTCACCACCGCGATACAGAAGATTCTGGGTCGAATCTTACCTAGTTCAAATAAGCCGTCAACCCCTGGGGGCCGAGTAATTGGAACTGGGCTTGTCGGGAAAGATTAATGTCGGTCCCGCTTGTGGGCAAAATCTTAATATGAGTTTATTTCAAAGCAATGTTTCCGATTTACACCTAATTTCGTTTCTGGTTAATTCATTGTAGCTACCTACGAGTGCATAGTAATAAATAGATAAATAAAACGCCTGGCTCGCGTATCGGTCGACCCTCACAAGTCATTGAATTGTCGAGGTGAAATGCCATTACCATTCTCACAGCATCAGGACGCTTAGCAACAGGAAAGCGTGGTTAAAGAGCGGAATTGACTGCCAATGAATGATTTTCTCTTTTTACTTGTCAGTATCGGGTGTGATCTTGAAGCAGCTCATATTCTAATTCCTTTCTGGGAAAGTTAGTGAGAAACGCCAAAACAGAAGTTCCTTTCATCAACGCATATCTTGTATGAAAAGTGACCTGTTCCACTTCAATCTATGTAAGGCTTCACTCACAAAGAGCACGCAACATGCGCTACAGAATCCTCGCTTCAGAAGCCATTGGCTGATGTTTGAAACTCTTCTACTGCGTCTATCGTCGCTTTTTCTTCATGGATGTGGGAAGAGTTTCAGTGACATTGCATTATAAAGTGTTTCAAAATTGTCCCCAACAAATTATTGGTCACAATGTGAACCTATAGATAACGTGTATA